GAATGTTTTTCCCTTATTCCATACTTGCTTTATTCTTCATAAGTGCTTAGCACCATATAAGGAAATTTATAAAGACCTTTTAACTAGAAGCAAGCAATCTAAAATTACATACATTTTGCAAAAGGTAAAGCATGGATCTGAAGATAATGCAGAAAAATGCTCAGAGGATAAGGATAACTTGCCAAAAAGAAAACGCTCTCGGTTAATTAATAGTGTTTTTAGTGATGATAAAGAAAACGTTGTTTAATTTATATTAATATGTATCACTTAAAAAAATTTTAATGAAGATATTTATCTTAATTATGAAAATATATTAGCATGTGTTTTAATTTTTGGAACCTAACCCTCCTTTTCGTATTAGTTCTTTGTTTCGTATAATACAGATTCGCATAACACGGCAATTTTTTGGAACGTAACTACCATGTTATACGGGGGTTACCTGTATATTAAATTGAAAATTTCAATAATTGACTAAATTTTAAAATATAATTGTGATAAATTTGATTATTAAATAGGTTTTTTTAAATTAGATTATTATTTGATTTTATAATTTGACTGTGATTTTAACATAAATTACAAAATCATTAATTATATTTGAAAAGAGTAATTAAAAATATTTACATTAAAACTTCTAACTCAGTAACCAAAAAACTAGCAAAACATACACTCACTTAAAAAGCAAATGTTTTATCCATTTTTAAAGTACATCATCAGGCTGAGGTACTAATTGTGCAATTCCATATTAGAACACCAGTCTGATGATGTCCTTTAAACATGGACAAAAGAAAATGTTTGATTTTTAAGTGAGTTTGTTTTATTTTTGTTATTGAGTTAGAAATTTTATCATTATTAACCAGTAAACTGTTGTCTTTTTATTTTACATTATAATAAATTAGCAAGACAATTTTTAAAATTTTCCATCAATAGAGGATATTTTAAAAATCATTTTGTGTGTTTAGAAATAATATCTTCTAAATACTAAAATTCACACCTTCCTCTCACTATCCAGCAATTCACTGATTAAAAAAAATGAATATTTTCAGTTACTTTCAGTGGCCTGTGTCAGTTAAACAGAATTTTATATCAAAATGTCTATATCAGGTTCAAAGTTTGGAATAACTCCAACTACCTTTTTCTTTGATGTAATTGTCGTTGAATTAAAATATAGTATATTTACATAGAGCTATTAATTCTATATTTACATACAGTATTCTAAAGCTGAAACTATCTTCTAAATTAATTAATTTAGAAGATAGTTTCAGCTTTAGAATTAACAAGTTGATAATATCTTCAGTAGTTAACGAGCAATTATTTATTGTGACATTGTTACAATGCCAAGCTGCAATTTTTAATCATATTTTTTAATTAATTTAATTTAAAATATATGTTTTCTACCTCAAATTAGTAGTGGCTTGTCCCTGTACATCATACTTTCCATTAGCAATGAAGTTGTGCCAGTCATCTATCTTACTCCTTTCAGTGTAAAATTTTTGAATTGAAATAACATGACTTCCAGTTTGCATTGGAAGTTCGTATATAGTTAATCAGGGCCTTTTGCCCCTAAGGTTTCCACATCTGATCTTGAATTTTATCTATCTAACACCTTTCTTGAGATTAATTTAAGGAAGGACAGACAGACTGATGGATGAAAGTGGAAATTTATAGGTCTACAATTTTTTTAAATTACAGCCGAATTAACTTCCATTATTGTGTAATAACTTGATCCATATTACCAAGATGATCATGGTCCAGTCTTTGTACAATGCATTCAGATATTTGGTTTAGTTACACACTGTTTAGTCAGTTCTCCTAGAATATTCTTCAGACATTTGATCTGTTCACACTGGAAATGCTTTAGCTTGGACAAACTCACTTGTTTCTTTATTTCATAATAATTATTCTGAGTGCTTTATCAAAAATGTCTCTAAGTTTTCCATTTGAAAGAATTAGCAGCAAGCTATGGTTTAATGTCTATAAATAAATTATTAATATTTTTCAAAATTTCAAGTAGATTTTAAAAATTCTTACTGTGCAATTGTATTGCCAAGAGTAACGGTAAACAAGATGAAGCAAAAAATGAGTAAGCAAAAGTATGGAATGGATTGAGTATAAAGGAAAAGATATGTTAGAGTTGGTGTTAATATCTATAGTATTTTAGTAAGTTATATTAGAATAATTTCACATTCAAAGTAAGATTCACATAATTCTGACAATTAACCTAAAATTGTAACTTTTTAAAGTCAGAATCAATTCTTGAAACTTACAATCACTATACAATGTTATAAGATCTGATTGTTTTTAAAAATATTCTATAAATAATAGGATAAACTTCCTTTAAGCATTCTAAATAAAAATTATCTATATTAGAGATGGTTGGCTATCTTGTTTCTTCATTAATCTACAGAATAAATTTTAACCATCTGAAAGTAGCCAATTAACTTGATTAACTATATTCTTTTTTTTCTGTCACTTAAAGAAGCTTATGTTTCTTCTATTATGTCTTGAATATTCTATAATATATATGAAATACTATATTACATCTTGGAATGCATAGTAAGTTAATATATACTTGAATTAATTCCTTTTCTAATTAATCCAAATAATTTTCTCTCGTATGGTTTGCTTTTATTTCATTCAGAATTGATCTCTTGTCAAAAAGATATAAGCCAAGATATCCAAAGGTTGTAAAAAATTGTTATTGACCATTTAGCTCACTCCTGTTTATAAGAGTAAGTAGCAATGAGTTTATCCAAATTATCTACAATTTCTTTTGTTGAATTATAATTTGGAATAATTTAAGGGTGTTTGTCTTCATTATTTCTACTTACAACTATGTTGGTAATTGTTGATAGAATAATAACAAGACTCTGATCTTTTGTTCTATATTTTATTCTATAACATTAAGATGAACTTGACTATAAACACTTTGGTCTAACAAATTTCTTTTGTCTTCTTAAATCTTTGTTTGAGGTTTGACTAACAGTGTTGCCACTTTACATTTTCCATATATATATTTTTCTTTCTGCTAACAGTAATAAATACAATTCATCATACTGTTTTATGCATTATATATGTATGTATATAAGAAAATGTTTTTTAGTAAAAATGAATTTTGTAGTTTTATGTATATTCAGTCTTTTTACTATTCACTATTTCCATAGGTAATTCAGGTTTTCT